GTAAAATTTATTATTTAAAAACCACTCTGAAATCGTTTTACCCGTTACTAAAGCGATCATCGAAGAAACATTGTCCCCGGCCCGCCACAAGGGCGCACCGAACGACAATGTTCATAACCTCACGCTCCAGGTAAAACGACATAACTCATCATCGCGGGTTGAGTTATGGCCATCTTGGGATGGCAATAAATGAAGACTGACTACAGAAATGATCCTGTGAAGTATAGTCTTAACTTTTATAGGCACAAGCAACAGCTCTTATACTGTATAGCTTATAAACCAAATGAGAATTCTTTTATACAAAAGTACTAGCTATAAAAATATTTGAAATGACGTAAATACATGAAGAACAGCAGTGTGCACAAGCAACAACAATGTATCCACTACCCAGACTATATGTTTAATAGGTATGTACGTCGTTAGAAAACAAGCGTTTTCATGAGTAAGAAAGTAATGCTATTTATATACTTATATGGTGTATGGTGACTTTTGATAGAGAATAACAAAAATTATCTAAAAGATAAAATCGATTGAATATAATGCGATTTGTGTAGAAATGAATGTGTGCGGTGCAGGCGGAGCTATTTATTCCATTGGAGTAAAATTTACACATAACATTTTTTCGGTTCAAGAAAACCGCATAACGTTTCTACATTCCGATAAACAGCTCTGTAGGGCAACTTCTGTACTATTGGACCGATTAAACCCATTTTTGTATAGAATATGTATTTTAGTTCTATAGATAAAAACGAAACATCAAAATAAATAAATTGGACAAACAACGGACATGTCGAAATGAATCAAGAAGATTGAGACGGACCCAATAGCATGTAAGTCGAAATAAAGAGAGCAAAAAGTACAAAACAAAATGAAGTAATGAGATTAAAATCGCACACTGCTGCGCATACGAAACAGAAAATCATCGTTAAGAACGGTTAGCAAGAACCAGACAATTGTGAAAGTTAAGTTTCACAACGTCAAGGAGATTGCATATATAGACCGAGGTGAACTTTGCTTCTGACGCATAGAAAAAAAAAAATAGTAATAAGCAATAGCCTTTCTTGTGTGCAAAATTGTTGTTGTTTTCCCGCATTTTCAATTGAGATAGAGGGCCTGGAAATATCAATCCACTTCTAAAAGTATTCAAAAAGCAATGAGTAATATTACCGAAACAGTCGTTTTGAACGACGGATCCAAACAAACTTGTATTGTACTGCCACGCATTCCAGAGATACTAACAGATGTACCACTTGAACGTTTTTCCCATTTTTTTATTTACATAACCAAACACTCAGGGGATGTTACCTATTCGTAACATACTGTTGGACGATCAGAAAGAAGTAAAGAAAGAGAAAGAGATGGGGGAGCGGCCGAAGCCTAAGGGTTTTGCGCACCGTCGGTAACTGTTAGTTGCGTTATGCGTAGTGCGCGGCTCACGAGCTGTCAAAATAAAGTTGATCGGGTCTATTTGAAAATAGTTGAACATGCAACTTGCGTTGTGTTGCGCATTAGCGTGAATTTGTGCGTGCGTAGATTTTGACATGCAAAGCACAACACACACACGCTGATGTTGTTTCTTTATAAGAACAAAATGAAATCATATAGTTTTATATGCTGTGACCAGAATAACCAGAAGGGGAAAAAATTATATAAAATTGCCCAAATAAATTGCGAAAAAAGAAAAAATACTATATACTGAATCTTCATCATGAATGAATAGAACATTTTGTTGTTGCATTATAAATGAATGCTATATTTTATTTTTGGTGTTCTGTAAAAGAAAATTCATAAAACTTCATTGCCATTAAATTAGGTTTTGGGTTAACTAATTTTTCAAAATATCCCAAAGATGAAAGACACTTCTGCTGGCGTCATTTCCTGATAATCTTATTGCTTTCCGTAGCGAGCCGCCGTAAAGTTTTCTTCAAATTGCGTAAGACAACGGTGGCTTTTACCACTGCTGCAGCATTCTTGGGATTTGTATGGATGGGGCTTAACAACACCCTCCAGCAAGACGTCAACACATCGAGCGTATTTTCGATTGTTTTTCTTCCCCGAGATAGCCTTTTACTGAAAAATTCCTTCTTTTGCGCTAATTAAATTCCAGTGCAAGGCCCCCATCAAGGAAACGCAGTGTCGTTCACAAAATCGTAGGAAAACTTGATATTAGTATCTGTGATGACTTTAGATTCAAACAGCTATAGTCAATTCTGAGCTAAGCGTCTAAAAAAATCCGAACGGCACATAAGACCAGTCGTACTTGTACGCGTCGATGTGATTTATAGCAAAAGTGTAGCTCGCACCGCACACTGCTGGCAGAACTATTGAGTACGTGCGTGAAAGACCGAATATATTATAAAATGTTCGCCATGTTTTAGTGTATAAGCCGGTTGCCTTTGTAGTTATAATATTGTGAACCAGAATTACGAGGCCCCAAAATATTAATGTATTTTCCGTCTACATCACCTACGTATTTTGGAACATTCAAAATATCATTGAAATCATCCGCTATACGTTTCCGTTTTGATTTGTTTGGCAAAGACAAATAAAACGGAGCAAGAGACTGGCGATGTTTTTTCGAAAATTCACCGTACCATTTTAAAACTGAGCGATAAGTAAATGAGTCTTCCTCCACGAACCAAGTATAGTGAAAAAAAAAACACTGTAAACGTTTTTATTAACTGC